AACAGCTCTTGTGTCTCAGTGTATTTTTCAAAAAAAAAAGAAAAAAGAAATGATGCAATGAATCATAACATTTATAGCACAAGAACTCACAGTTGTATATAAGCATCAAAAGATTGAGTAATTTTTAAATACAAAAATATTTACCGTGATTTTTTTAAAGCGCTTCCCCAGCAATTTTCTTAGGGACAGCTGAAACATAATTGTTGCTTTAGTTACTGGATCAGTAAGGAACATACTTCTCACTTGAAAATCAAATATTGTGTGTCATTCGAAGTTCTGATTGGAATTTGGCATGGGCAAAATGGAGATTATTTTGTATTTTCTGTTGTATATGGTCCTGATTGTAAAGTACATTATCCAACCACAACTCAATAGAGCACAAGACTGTAATTTTGCTTACTGTCCCTTCACTCCTTCATTTTAGCTGCAAATCTCATGAACTTGTCCACTCAGGAAAGTGTAGTAGGACAGTGTGCAGTAGCCCATCTGGCAGTCAGACTTGCCAGGTACGGTGTTGAAGTAATTGAGACTACCAGCATCATCCCTAGTCAGCACCCTAGTTGGAGTCAGGTAGTTTGAGAATCCCCACACTGCTAGCTTGTAGGTGCACCAAATAAAACAGATTCTTGATACCTTAAGACCATAGGAATTTGTTCCTTGGAATGTATTCTGTTGGCTATGCCTAAGCAAATGCTTGTATTTGACCAAACCAGCCACTAGATGGCTCTCGGACTCTGCAGAAAGTTGCCCTGAGAGCCTTTCTATTGTAGCGATGCATCACTATAGACCTAAAGTCCCAGTTTTCGGAATCGGGTGCTTGTCAAGTTCCTGTTGAGCACATTTCCCAGATGTTTTTGGGTTTTTTTGATTTGCAGGCTGGAAAGGCCTCAGGCAAGAGGGCAGTAGCTATATGTATATGTCTCTCCAAATCCTTAGCTGCTGGTTTCAGGGTGGCATCAAAGGGCTTGAGAGCCAGTTGTCAGCTCATCTAGGTGCTTAGGAGATGGAAGTGTTCTATAGAGCTGAGGTCAAGGGAGCAGAGAGCTTGGCAACCTGTTTCCTTGTGTTGCTGGATTCAAATCAATGCTCTTGTGTAGGCGATGAAGGCTGTGCCAGCTACTGACTGACCAAGGCCTTTGGAATCAAGCTCACGGTAAGTTCAGATGGTCTGGTTTGAAAAGTAGATTTTCCCCCCTTTAAAATGGCTGTAAAGCAACTTGCTTGGCTGGTGGAAATGCTTTTTTTGTGCATATGATGCATACCTAAGCCATAGTTTGGATTAGGTCCTTGCCAGGATGGCTGCTAAATTCCCAGTAATTCAGTTCCCTAGTGCAAAGACTATTGTCTATTCAGGGTTACCCAGAAGAAGTCTAGCTAAAACCGAAGTGCCAGCTATGCCTTATGTAGAGAACAAAGCAAGCCTGAGTGCCTGCTAGTTTTTCACCTTAAATGCTGAGGTAGGTCCTTGCTGATCTGTCACAAGCTATTTAGTTGTTGCATTTTTTTTTCTTTTGAGAGTTCCAGACAATTCATCTACCAAGATTAATGGTATTTAAACAAGGGCTTAGGGAAAGAGCTACTGTACCTCCTGTGACATGTCACAGAGACCTCCAGAGTTAAATGCCTTTACTCAGTACTGGAAAGTTTGGTGGGGATGCATTTGGACACAAGCACAATGGCAAAGGTTGATCTGCTTTTTCAGGGTTACTTGAACAATTGCTGGACTTTCATTCAATCAAACTTTTTCTAATACAAACCACAAAGGGCTCAATAATTTAGCAAGATTCGTTTGTGTCCAACTCCTGACAACAGCTGGATTGCACTGGAACCTTTCCTGATACACAACAGATCCCCATGAGAAAACAAAGCAAACACAATTGTCACCATTAAAGTGAATGGAGCCAAATAAATATTCTGTATCCTTCCCTCCTAATTTTCTAGCAACCACTTAACTGCTGTCATGCTACTTAGCAGGAAACAGTCAGTTCCAGTCTGACATTTCTGCATCTTGGTTCCTGTAGTCATTAAAATGGAGGGCTACTGTGAAAAGGGGCTTGTCACTGATCTCTTGTACATATGGGTCAGTCCAAAGGAAGGAGAGTACTAGGCCTGTCCTCCAATAACTGCTAACACATGGAGTCTTGTTCCTGGTGGGTGAGAAAGCCTCAGGCTGGTAAAGTTAGGTCACTTTAGCTGCAGTCTGCCTTGCTCTGCATTGATATACCAGACACCATTAGTAATGTTTAGAGATAAACTAACAGCAACACTGTGTGCATAGGTTCATTTTGTCAAAATACCAGTAACGTAGAGACTCCAGCGTGGACTCTTCCAGCAGCGAAGGTGTAATTTCTGTCTCACATTTTCTTTTCCACAGTATTTACAGCATTTCGTCTCTGTTCTGTCTTCACTTCCAAGAAGATTTGACTTAGTACAAATATGTATAGTCTATACACTTTGGTGATTTGTACTATTTGCCATCCTTCAAGACACTTGCTGGGAAGATCTTTAAGACACTTAATTTTCCTTTAGCTTTTCTATAATTCTGATGTAAAGGACTTTCTCTGTACAGTATATTATTCAATGCATGTTCTGTTCTCTCTACTGATATATTGAACACCACACAGTTGTGATATTGTGCAGTGGGTAAGGCGACCCTGCACTCAGCTGAGGCCCTCAGCCTCTCATGTATAAGGAAAGAAAAACTATTTTTTCCTTTGCTGTATTTGCTTGAGCAGAGTTTTCTTGTCTGTACATGTGAGCTGTGAGATAGATGTGAAAAGTTCAAATGAATGCATTTCCCCAATGTATACAGATTGTAATCTGTACAATGAACTGTATGTATGAAAAAATGTACTTATTTATAAATGGTTAACACTTGGAAACAGAGTTTGCCTGCTATTTTCCTCATGCTGCAGCCTGAAATTAAGGAGTGTGCATTGGTTTCATGGCGCAGCTGTACAGGAATTAAAATAAACTGTTAGCAGGCTGGTGCACACAAGGGACTAGATGTGCTCTATTAGTGAATGGGGCAAACTGGGAGCAGAAGAATAGATCCAGCGGCTGCTTCAACAGTGAGTTTTCCACTACCCCAGATGGCACCTAGTAGAGGTGGTTTCGCTCCATCAGAGTGGCTCCCCTGAGGAACACAGGCCACCACCAACATATTGTATCCATTCTCCTGCTCCTGCAGAGAAGGCCCCATCCAGCACGGTGCATTGTGGATAAATAATCCAACACTGACACCAGAGGGAATGTTCCCCAGTCAGAATGGGGGTTCTGGTCTAATATTGGTTTTCAAGTGGTCTTGTAATGGGCTGCACTGAAATGCCACAGTGCTTGTCAGCCCGCTTTGTGATCCTAAGCCAAGGATTGGCAACGTTTTTGAGCAGAGTGCCAATAACACCTGCAACCTTGACTTATAAGATGTTGGCATGCCAGGGGCAGACAACAGGGGAGCTGTGAGGGACCTGATCCTTGTTGTGGCAGTGCAGTCCCTGTCCCTTCCCCAAGGTGCACATGCCAAGCAAAATGCCTTCATTTGCCAAGCTCTGGCCTGCATGCCAGGGGTTTCCTACCCCTGTTCTAGGCAGTGGAGCTAAATGTAGGATTTTACTTTGATGCTGTATGTACATGCAGCCAGCATTGCACCTGAATGTAGCTTGTATTACCACTGGGCACTGACACCCTCCTCCCCACCTCCTTCTCCCTCATCCCCAGAATGGACAGCTGCTAGAGAGAGGTTGAGGGTCAGCACTACTGCTGCTTCCTGGCCCTCCCTGACAGGATAACTGCATTTTTAACTGAGTTTATTAATGCCTGTGCACCGACCTGGGGTAAACTGCTAGGAATACAAGGCACCAACCTCTTCCTACAGTTAAATTCAGTGAGGTAGCCCACTGCCCCTCGGTGACTGAGAGTTTACCTTTGAGTCAAGCCAAACCACTTTGTCCTGTATTTGTAGCTCAGGCTGCTTTTGGATTAGTTCCCCACTAGGTTAAAAACCAAAGCCAACAATCCAAAAGCAGTTGTGTATGTTCAGTATAGCAGGGCAGAGGAGCCCAGAATTGCAGGGAGTCTTTTTCTGCTATAGCTTAGCAAAGAGTTGTAGTTTAGGAAACTGTCTCCAATTAAGGATAGTTACAGCACACGCTGCCCTGAGAAGGTTTGTCTCATCTTCACCCCAGCAGTAACGCTTCCCTCCCTGATGCAAACACTTCCTCACATGCACTCACTCCCCAGACACCTGATCAAGAGTGAGGCTTATTTTCTTTATTATCCAAGTCTCATTTGAGCCAAATGACTGACTTCAGTGGCTCTATTGCAGGCAAAACCACTATTGCCCCAGGTAAGTTAGGGGGCACCTACACGTGCGCTTCAATGCACAGTAGCCTATTTTACTGTGCATTAAAGCATCACATCAGAAACTGCTAATATGCTAATGCACAGTAAAAATGAGCTACTGCACATTAAGTGTCACTAAAAAATTGTGCTTTTTCACTACTGTGCATTAGGGCAGGCTAATGCATATTTATTTATTACCTCACATTACAGGTACTAAATTTACATGTGCAGTTGCAAAAGCACATTAATGAATGGGTAGATGCACCTTAAGTATTCTGTTTCCAGCTTGGTCTATGGGGTTAGGCATGGACTACATAGTGCTACATAGTTAAAGGTACACAGTGCCTACAGGTGCCCCATGACACTTTCAGATGCAGGGTTTAGAGGTCTTTCAGAAATCAGGGTTTTAATTCCTAGTTCTGAGCCCATCTCAGGACTAAACCCTTTCTGTCAGAACCAAGTGCCATATCTCCATTGGACGTTAGCTACCTGCTCTCCAAGAGTAGCAGGCAAAGCCTGCAGTAATCGATGTTAAATATTAACACTGGCTCTGGAACCAGGAGCACATGGCAGGCAGGAAGGGGAAAAGAGTTGTACTGGCAGAACAATGGGCATTGGGAATGACCAGCTGGCTGGCACACAGAGGAGATAGGCCATGCTCATTGCAAATATTTATTGACTCAGGAGCATCCACAAAGCAGACAGCATGGCACACAGTACAGCAAGATGCAGCTCTGATAGGAGACAACATTTCAGGTCAAAGTTGCACAAAACGTGATTTTTCTTCTGCTTTCAATAGGCATTTGAGCCAACAAATCCACAGCTCAGCTAGTGCAGCTCCCCCCACACACAATGGGTTTCTTTCAGAGATTAATTACAGCAACAAAAAAAGATCAACTGTGTAGAAAATATTTTCAAGTATAAACATTATCAACAGCATCTTGTGCCAGGTCAATACCTGGCATGTGGCACAGCAGGTGCTTGCTGACATAGAAAAGGTTTGTGTGGTGTCTCTGATTACTGGCAGTTGGCTGCTGCAGCACCGTGCATCCCAGGACAGCTGCATACTGAGGTATACTTCCCTGAGCACAGCGTGCAGATTTAGGCAATTGTTTCCATAGGGCTTCACCTGAAGGTCTGTTTCCACTAATGTCAGCAGGGAACAGGCTTTCAATCTCCATCCTGGTAATCTAGCACATACTTGGAAAGGTTATAAGCAGCAGGCCCATACCCTGAGTATGGAAATACTCAAGGTAGAAACAGATATTGCCAAATGAAGGAGATCAGCTGTGCTGGCATAGGTCTTGTCTTGGTACAGCAGATCCACTTCAGTGGGTGAAACACATTGCCTACTGTTCTGCCTATTCATGCTGCAGGACAATGGGTGGCGTGTTCTCTTAGGGCTTGAGGGGGCTGTCCTGGACACCCAGGAAGTTCCCATGCAGGCCTGGACTCCTCCATCCCTGCAAACATGTCTGGCTTTTCCCTCTTTTCCCCAGGATCCCCAGGGCCATGTCACAGAAGGGAAAGCCAGGCAGCAGCTCCCAGAGATGAAGGAGTCTGATCCAACATAGAAATTCCTGGGGTGTGCAGGATTGGGCCCCTCAAGCCCCCAGAGTACCTATCAGGGCAGCTGGAGAGCACAGCTGGCTCCGGGCTACCTGAACCCCCCACTTGATAAACATCTGGCATGAAACAGCGACACAAACTGGTACCTTTGTCGAAGCCACATTTGTGCTGCAACAAGGGGCACCGACATCTGACAGCTTGGCTTTTGTGCTGCCATAAAAAAATGTCATGGCACCACAAAGGCAACAGAAGGCACATCTGTGTCCACCCTCAGTTCCAGAGCAGGAAAGAATGTTTCTTTCGAGACTAGTATGGGCAGGGTGGGATTAATGAAGCGTTTGGAAGAAACGCCTTGCTCCGTTCCTTCCTCACCCCATGGATTGACCTTTCCTGCTGTCTTGTATGATACAGAAGATCTAAGCTAAGACTTCCAGGCAAGACTAAGCGACTTGTGGGTGCTCCATTGAAACACCTTTGAAAGGGACCCAATTTTTCACAAAGTGCTAAGTTAAATGCAGGCAGCAGAACCCCAGAGTCAGTTACTTGTGCCATTTATGCCACATCAGGGAAGGAGGTTGTTTGAGAGCCCCTGTGGGCATGGGCAAGAGATTGTACGGCATGCAAACACAGTAATCCCCAACTCAGACTTTGTCTGGATCTGGTCAGTCTAGAAAGACTCCAAATATTTGAGTCTGCCCTGAATCATCAGACCAGGGCAGAGGCCACTGGCTCTGGGAACCATTTATGGGCAGGGATCAATAGCAGAGCCAGGTGTCTTTTTGTTCATGGCAACACTGTTTACACAGGATACCTGCTAATTAACAAATCTAATATTGCTTTCCCAGCTCCTCCCCTTGTCAGCAACTCTCTCCCTTCTGTCAGGCAGTCCAGGCAGGAACAATGTCACCAGACAGCCTCACTCGGCCCCTAGGCTGACCTGTGCCCTGTGCCACCTTGTGCCTAGAGAGGCAGGGGGTTGAACACACTTTCAGAAGAGGGCCTTGAGTTCCCAGCTGGTTCTCAAGCCCAGTTCCCTTTGCCTGTTATTCTTTATCGGTGATTTCCTTCACTCTGCTAACATGGAACTATTAACACTCCCATCAGCCTGCTGCTTCCACAGCCAAATGTCTGCATCAGGTCAGCCTGTTCACTCTGGAGTTACTCACCGATTCAGAGGCAGGGATACCGACTGTCTGATCAACCTTGAGTAACTGCTAGCTGGAAAGGCCTGTGCAGCAGCACTAGGCACTTGTGATGCCTTTCAGCACCTGGAGTGGAGGAATCCCATGTCTGTCTCCAATTGCAAAAAAGAGCCAATATTGGAGGCGGATGAGACAAGCTGTAACATCAGATGTGAAAGGAAGCAGCTGCCAATGCAACGGGGCTTCTCATGTAGGCTCCGAACAGTAAGAGATGGAGCTGGCACGAGCCCTTTAGAGAGGACATGTGCTTTCACTTTACAAACTGACTGCTCACCAAGTCATTTAAGGTCAGAAAATGTAGCGGAAATCCCCTGTGTGCCTTCCCTGCTCAGAGTCCAGCTGGAAGTCCTGCCCCAAAAATGCCCCTGAGCACCAGGGAGAATCAGGAAAGAGGAGGACAAGTACTTCCAAAATGTTGTTAGCTAGATGGGCTTGAGAGTGCTTTGACTTTGGCAGACATCTCCACTCCTGTGGCTGGCTGTTGTGAGCTGGTTGGGATCTGATGGGAATCTGCAGAAGCAGTACATTATGGGGCATCAGGAAGTAACGCGCCTCAGGGCAAGACAAACACCACTGTGATCATTAAAGGCACCAAAGCTTTGGCATTCAGCCAAGGAGTAGGGGCACTGAAACGGAGCATAGGACAGATTTAAATCCACCCAGGACCAGGTGGACTGGCACAAACACTGTTTCCAGTACTGCATGAGCTCCAGGAGGCACAATGAGGCAGCATGCATGAAATGATAGGAGCCAGGTTGAAGGCCTCATCTTTCACCTGAATTTGGTTTAGACATTTACCTACAGGTTCTTTCTCTGTGCCCCTGGCCTGGCCTGCCAGGCTGGGAAGTAAGAGCTCTGCAATCCTAGTGCAAGAGGGGCAAAATTGCCAGCCTCAAGAGGTTTGGAGAAGGAACCAAATACCTAGAGGAGCTCGGCTGGTATTAAAGGCTGCAGCATAAAGAAAGCAGCCCTTGAGCAAAGCCAGACCTCAGTGCTTTGGGTAGGAGGCAGGGAAGAGGCCCTGACTGGCACCCTGGCTCAGTGGGGAACAAAGAGCAACCTGCATGTCTCACAGGAGCACAACGCACAGGACTACAGTGTGGGCTTGGAGAGCAGCTGCACTGGCACACGGCTCCCCTGCACATGAGGAATTAAAGCCCTCCCCTCTCATGCCAGCTGCACTTGATGATCACTGGGTGGCAGGGGAGTGAGGCGGACACCAATACACCAGGGATGTAGAATCCGCAAGACAGCAGTGGAGCTCTAGTTACACAGCACACATGCACAGGGCTGAGAGCAAGGACTATGGATGATAAGAACACCAAACCCTCGCCCTCCCCCATGCAAGGGCATCACTGGCTGCCACTGGGACTCTCCCCCTCAGTGAGATTTTTAAAATCCATGGACAGTGCCAGTTCCTCAGCCAGTGGAGGTCTCTTCCACTCATCCCGCGTCAGGATGTACCCGATCAGCAGCCCGAAGGTGATCAGCAGCAGGCCCAGAACATTGGCTAGGATCCCTTCAGGCACAAAGGAGCTGTAGGTGGTCCTGCAAGAATAGAGAAGGGCATTGGAGCTGGCTTCCTGCTACCCTGAGGATACAACAGATCCACACAAGGGGCAGCTTCTAATTCAGTCCCGGCCCTGAAATGCTCCCATTTACCCTGACCCCATCCCAAACAACCAGCAGCCTGACTTAAAGACAACAAAAAGCTACATCCCTTCACAGAAGTGCACTCTGGTGAAGGAACCACCCTCCTGTAGTCCAGGAGGGGCCAAACCAGGCTGGGCTTGTACAGCCTGCTTGCTGTCCTGCTAAAAGTTTCTCTACAACCACACAGGAACTGCCTATTAGATGCTACTGCCTCTCCTGGCTGGTTTGGGCACCATGTTGGCTAACTAGCAGAGACAGCTCAGGCTGTGCTTGAAACAAAGAGTCAGCCAAGGGACTTTTCCCACTGGCTGTTTGACACCAGCTGTCCCATGTGTGGCATAATGAGACAGCCAATCCAGCCCTTGTCTGGATCAGCACAAAGGATCCATATGGCCAGTAAGAGCTTGAAGGAAAACCTAGAGGCATCAAATCTGGAAGCTAACCATTAGGCATGAGAAGGCCAGAACTGAAACATGGATCCAACAAGGAAAAGCCTCTCAGAATCCAGCGTTTTTATCTAGAAAAGAAATCACAAACCACATTTCCCAATATCCTGCAGCACCTGTCACTGGCCTGGACTCCCGAGGCATCTTGCCAACACACTACTGCCTTAGAGAAAGTCAGACGTGTCTACTAAGGTCTACTCCAGACCTTAGCGGACCACAACCCATAGCATCTAGGGGCCCGAACACTGCAGGAGAAGGAACAACGGGACTGGGAACTAGGTTTAGAGGGGCTGTTTTCTCCCACTGCCCAGGAAGTGCCTCATGCTGAAGCCCATGTGAAATCCAGTGGTGAGGTGGGGAGAAGAATACAGGCCAGCAGTTTTAGCCATGTACTTAATACTGAAGAGGAGCAGCTCCTTGATACCCAGCAGGCATGTGGCAATGGAGAGGATAAGGAGGAAGATGCCAAAGAAGACATGGTGCGATTTGTACTTGTTGCGAAGTGAGAAGGATGCTCCAGGAAACAGGAAGAAGCTGAAGCCCATGAGCCACTGGAAGGGAAAGAAAAATGGCAGGGGGCAATAAACCACTGAGTCCTCTCAGGGCTGGAACCAAACCGCAGTGGACAGCAATCCTTTCCCAACAAGACCTCAGCTCCCACTGCAGCAGCCATTATGGCAGCAGGTCACGGAGGTTGGGGCAATTTAGCTCTTCCTACCTCACCCCACAGGCAAACACGAATTAGTGCCCAGGTAAGAGTCCAACTGCGCCCTGCTCAGATGCTGGCACCGCGTGTCTCTCCCAACCCCCAGGAGCAACTTCCAATTAAAATAACAGGGGACTGAGTTGCCCCAGATCCCGCAGGGCAAGTCAGTAGCAGAGCTGGGACTAGTCCTGACATCCAGCCCCCTGCTCTCACCGCTAGGCAGCTCAGCCTGTCAGGAGAGCCTGCAAGACAGGAGAGAGCACCCAGCTCCAGGTCACCCTCTGCCCCTCACCTGGATAAAGTAGAGGCTGAAGGCTGATATGCCACACCAGCTGTGCAGGCTGTACATGTCTGCAAAGTTATTCTTCCTGTGGTAGTCAAACACGGCTATCAGGCCTGTGGAGAAGAGAAAGAAGCCTGTTAGAGCTGGACACCCATCCTCAGCCAGCACGTTCATCGCACTCTGTGTACCCTTCACAGTACCAGCATGCAGGTAGTGAGGTAAGTGGCAGTGGGTGAACCATTACTCTGCTGGCTCCCCAAGCTGGCCTTGGCAGGGTCCTGACAACCAGGTTCACTGGGCTCTGGCATTACCAGGCTACTACATCATGCTACAAGTGGGACTGCTACATCCACCCACCCACCTCTCTGGCTCTGATGCTCCCCTCTCTGTCTTTGCTCCCCTCTCTGGGATGGTCTATGAGCTGTAAGAGGAAAGGGGCAATGGAGGGTTCCAAACCCCCCTGCTCAGCACACTGCTGCTCTTGGGGCATCTTGCCAATGATGCCTTGCAGCTGGAGGAATCCGTCCAGGCCACCTTCCTGATGGCTTGTCCTTGTTGTGGGGGAACCCAGGACTCACCCACAAGGGCGATGACCAGTGCAAGGACATGAAGGAGTCCATGGAGGATTTTGGTGGAGCGCTTGCTTTCGTTCCTGAAGACCCGGTAAACCAGGAGAGCTGGTGGAGAGAACATATGTGAGACAAGTGCAGGGGGGAAAGTCAGGAAAAGGCCCCCCACCAAAAAAGACTAGGTGTAGCTGTGCTACACATGTGTAAAATTAACTCCAAGAGGGCACGATACCCAGTGCTGGAAGTGAGCCACAAAAGGGAGGCAGAGGGTGACTCATACTGCAGGGAGCGTTAAGCACTTTGTTATTCTCCCCACTGCCTTCCCCAGATTTAATTTGGTAGCTTCAATCTTTCCTTAAAGCCACAGGACCTGGCTGCAGGGCACCTGCTACTGCAGCTTTCCCATCATAGCTCTGTGCAGATGTGCCTGGCTGCGTGCTTAAGAGGCCATCTGGGAGACAATTACTGCTGCTGGTTCCCTGAGCAGCACTGTGACAGAGCAAGGCACAAAGCCATCCTCCACACCCAATCCATTTATCCCCTGCTAAGTGCTCTGCAGAAGGCCTGACCCACGTCAGCTCCACTCAGACAACAGTAAGGGTTTCATCACCAGCATGAGGAAGCTTTCCATAGGGATCTGTTGCTTTGTCATCGGCTACGAGAGTAGATGTCCCATAGCATCCCTCTCCTGCACCCTTCAGCTAGAGCAGAGAAGCCAGCCTTGCTTTGCACTAGTTCAGTGCAGATGGCATCAGTGCACCCAGTTGCAGTACCAATTGCTCATGTCATGGGACAGCTTTGTACTTTTCCCGAATGGGTAGCTTGCTGCCTGGGCCATGTCCCCTTTCAGACCAGCAGGCTGATGGTGCCGAATTGGAGCAGTGTGATGGAAAGCAATACCAGGCCAACATGAAACGGCCCAGCTCCTCATCCAGTTACTGGTGTAAATTTGGACTAACTCCACTTTAAGGCTGTACCCAAAATATTCAGTAGGGAAGCACCTATGGGACTACAGTGGAGAAGGAATTATTAACTCCATCAGTCAGCAGGGGGGCTGAGGCCTGGACTCTTGGTCCCCTGAAGGAGTGTTGAGGAACACAGCAAGCACCTGCCCCACTACCTGCGACCAGGCCAGGTCCTGGTCCCAGCTTACCATCCCCTTGGAGGAAGACCATTCCAATGATCATGCAGAGTGGGTGGACGTTGAACTCTAGCAAGCTTTCCCAAGCGATGCCCCCCCGGAACTGGCCCATCCAGGCTCCAGTCATGGCAATCACTGTCAGTCCCAAGAACTGGGAGATCGCCACATAGCAGGAGAGCCCTGCTGGGCTCGGAGGCCTTGCAAGGCTGTCTTCCATATCAGGCAAGGCAGATGACGCTCAGCAACAGGATCACAGGCTGCAGGCACAACAAGAAGAGTGATCAGTGTGGCAGCACACCAGGAGCTCAGAAGGGATCCATCACCTTTCCCAGGCACCTCACGAGCATCCAGGACACTATTCAACTAATCTTCTTGCATAAGAGCCAGAGTCCCAGCATCAGCTTGGAGATTGTTCGTATTTCAGGCAGGGACCAGATGGTTGATCTCAAGACCCACTCCCAGTTCTCACATGCTTTTGAGCACAGCAGCTTGCAACCACAGCTGACTACCTGAGCTCAGCAGGCACCTATGGAACCCATCAGCCCAGGGCACTTCTGTGGGCTGCACCTGCAAAGCCAGCCCAGGTATGGGCATAACAGATCGCAAACAAGGGCAGCCCTGTGCTGTGTTGCAGGCACCCAGCATGCAGAGGGGAAGTGTTTTGTTGAATCTGAAGGCATTACTCAGTGTTTGTCCAAAGAAAAACAAACCTGGTCACACCCAGCCTGGGTATTGTGCCCAAACAGTCACCAAGGCAGCTAGGCTAGTATTCCCCCTACCTGGGCAAGCCACAAGCATGGCTAAAAACAACAAGGGAGAGAAGGTTAGAGACTGTTCTGCCAAACTAGGAGCTGCAGCTGCTCTGCATGTGACCCCACAGGTCCTCACTGCTCCAGGCATCATCTGCCATCAGGTCTAGAGGAACTTCCCTGCTGACTTATGAATGGCCCTGGGTGGGACTCCCGTTCTCAGAGGCTTGCCTGGCACACGGATCTAGCTGGCTGATTCAGCATGGGTGGAAGCTGCAGCCTGCCACAGCCTGAATAAAACAAGACTTCTTCCTTGTTCATCAAGGTCCCCTGTCACAGCCTCCCAAGAAGGCTCCAGCAGTCTCTCCATTTTATCTTCATTGCTGACCCTTGCATCCCTCTGTCCTCACCAGATGCCCTGATTTTTCCCCAATTTCAGTCTTAAACTCTTTTTTTTCCTGTTTGCACAGCTATGCACTGGGGCTCCTAGACACTCTTCAAACTTGGTTGTGTATGGCATGATGGTAGTGGCTCCTACTGGGGTAGGAGCATTGTCAACTCTTCAGTCTGTCACAAATCCTGCATTCTGGTGTTTCTCATAAAGAACCAGTCATGCGAGACAGAACCAATGCTTTAATTAAGAAACAGATTTTAACCCTTCTGTTTGCAGGCAAGAGCCTGGAAACATGAATCCTAAAAGGCCCAAATATCCTCGTGTCAGGTATCCAGGTTGTAGCCGTATTGGTCTAGAGGAAAAAAAGCAATCATCTATTGACTCCTCTGTGAAATCCTATGAAATATGAACTTTCATTTCTACCCAGGAGAACTTTTACAATCTTTTCGCCAATGCCTGATGAAGGGTGTTTGTGCCCAAAAGCTTGCAATTAAACAATTATTTTTTGCAAAAATCCTGTTGTTCTAATAAAAGATATAATTTCTACTATGAGTCCTGGTTGCAAATATCCTCATGTCCTTCTATTTTAAAGTGATGGGATTGTCTTAAATTTGGCAAGGAAAGAGTGGCCCAATTTATGTTCTTTGGGTACCAGGGTCTGCTGGTAGAAGGCTAGAGCAGCAGGAAGCAGCAGAAAACTTTATTCATAAAATGTACTGCTAAAGAGGAGGTCAGGATTGCTCCCAGAAGGAGCCAGTCATCTTGGATGTTCTGCTTGAACCTAGGCAAAGAACAGATGGTGTTTTCCAGCACTGGCCTCGTCCAGGTCTAATGAAACCCATGGAAGCCTGGCTTCCACTGGTATTCATGACAAACCACTCAAGTCTTTGCTGCACTTACATGGGGCAACAGATGGTAATTGGGAAGCAAGAAACATTAACAAGCAGTTGGGATTTTTAAGGCTGATTTGGAATAAATGAGCAAAACGAGGGGCGTAAAAGGAATCCTAGGGAGAAACCATCCTTCAATGGGAGGTGGGAAGCTTGCATTGTTCATGCGAGAACTGACAGGAGCCTCATGTCCTAAGGGGGCAGTTACAGACATCTCAGTCAGGGTGAGCACTCTTACATAGATTGATGGCATTATTGTAACTTGTAGGTTAAAGACTCCAGCTCCCCTTCTTCCTTTCTGCCTTTTGTATTCAATTTACACTCTCCACTTTATACAGTACTCTGTGCACGGTCTTTCACAGCATCTGATGAAATGAGCTCCAGCTCCTGAAAACTTATGCTACATAATTTAGTCAAAAAGGTACACGTCTACCCTGTCTTTTTATTTTAGTGTTGCAACTCCATTTTTTGCACAAAGATAAGGAAGGGTCTGCAGGCAGCCTCCACACACTGGAATGGTCCTGCTTTACCATGAGCCAGCCTGAAACTTGGGGGAAAGATCCCTGGGACTGAAAGCAAAGGCCACAAATTCACATCTGGTCTTCCTCTGACTGCTACTAGTGCTTCTGAGCATTTTACAGCCCTCTTTGCTGTGCAAGGCCTCCCAGCCTGACCTTGGGGGCCAGTAGCTATCAGTGTCTTCATCTGACAGATAAGGGAGACTGCATAGCGTCACTCCAATATTGCAGGCCCAAGCCCTCAAGGTTGTGTGGATAACATGTCAAGCCTTGTCTCACTCCTCCTGTCTAGCCTCATCTCTCATCTGATACCACAAATTCTATTGACTTGTGCAAACTACCTGCAAGGTGCATTAGCTCAACTACTAAAACCTGAGGGTCCCCCAGTCACAGTCTATACTGCTGGCTCACGTTAGCAGGCATTGGAGCTCCCCACTGCAAAGGGTCGGTTTTGCCAGTGCAGCAGGTTAAAGCGGAGGTCTTTTTGTCATTGTTTTGTTTGCATTTTCTCTAAACCCTAGCAAACGGCCATCAGACAGGCCTGGGGACAGGTAGGGCAGAGGTCTGGCATGGGCTCCTCAATCTGGCCAAGGAGCACCAAGAACAGAACAAGATGCCATCCCCACCAGCCTCCTACAAGGGCGGAGCAACAGCATGGTTTTTGCTCTCCACAGCTCGGACTTCCAAACCCTGCAGAGACCTCCCTGCAGAATGCAGTACAAGGAAAACTCCACGCATTTCCTGAAAAGACAAGGGACCCAGGACAGCTGCCCATCCAGCTATAAACCCGTGCCAGTATAATGGCAGGAGACCCTCACTCCTAATACAAGGGTCACTTCTCGGTGCCCAGCACAACAGTAAAGCTGTACAGTGCCCTGGGGCTCAGCCTGGGTTGAGGAGCAGTGCTGCCAAGGGGAGTCATTGCTGTTACCTGGCCCATCACAGAGCTGCTGTACCTTTCCATGCCCAGTTTCACAGCCACAATCCTAGGCAGCAGGAAGGCATTTTCTGCTATGAGCTTCTTGAAGGTTGGGCAAGAACTCCCTGCTCCAAGAGAACAATCTTACAGGGCACTTGACAAGGCACCAGTGTCCCAGCAGGTACAAATTTAAGGTTGTTCAAGAAGCAGGTTGCAAGCTACCTACAGCCTGTTGCTATAAGCTCATGGCATCTCTCCTTCCCCCTCCCCAAGTTACCCTATGATTTTTGGGGACATTTATGAAGCGACCCTCATGGGAATCAAGAACTGCTCAAAGTGCAGGGAGCAGTGGCAACTCTTCCAACTCCACCTTAACAAAGTTTGCATGTAAGCAAACATGTCAGAAATGGATCCCGACAGACAGATTAATGATGCCAGTTGAAGTGGGGAAGATTTATTAAGAACACACACACTTTTCTTCCTAGCCAGAGCTGCAGACTTTATTGGATCATGCAAGATAAGTGGATTAAGACAATTGGTTTATTCTATTAGACTGCACTACAAATGCCAGCTGCGTGCTTATGGCTCTTGCAGCTTGAGGTCAGAAGAGGCTCTGGAGGGGGCATTAGGGATCAAAGCCTTGAAAGCAAAGGAGATCACTAGGCACTCTCCCTTTGGGAATACTAAGGAAAAGGGCTATGGCTTTCCCCCTTTCCCCCCTCTAGGCCATGGCAGGCACCAGCAAGTGTCCTGTGCTCTACAGATTCTGCTGTCTCTCACAAGGGGGTATGACTATGTGCCATGTTGCTCAGGAAGGGGTTAAAAAGAGCCTGGGGTCTCAGTCCTTCCTGCCTCATTGCACCTGCAGCAGGTAATGTGCCTGGGAGGTAGGGATAAAAGGAAAGAACCTAGTCCAATTGCGAAGGTGGGAATGACTAGGTCTCCAATTCTTGCCCAGTGAGGAAAATGTGGTGGAGACCCTCACTTCATCCCCAAGGGAAGGCAGGTCTGAAGCAGGGAGCTCAAATGGGAGTGGTGCGGAGAAGGCACACTCTGGATGAGAGAACTGGGCCCAGGACTGCGTGCTCTCCTCTTTGGTTTTGGTACGCTCTTTTGATGCTTGGATACTCCTGAAGAGTTGGGAGTTGAGTGTCTGAGCCAGGAGGGCCATGTCATTGGGAACTGTACTCCTGGAAGGAAACTGAGGCAGGATAATGGTGGGACTGCAAAGTGCTACAAGCTGCAGAGGGCAAGCCTGTCTCGGGGAAAGAAGGAGCAGACAAACACCTAGCGCTCCTCTTCAGCGTGAAGAGAGGTGGGGGCAGGCCTGGTGCTGAGACAAGACCTCTCTGCTCAGGGAAATCTTGTCTGCCAGGGAAGAGGAGGAGCTACACAGATCTCCCTTCCCCCAACCTGACAGCTTTGCCAAGGATCCCAAATTCCTAGTGCCAACACTGGACTCAGTGGAACCTGATGGACTCAGGTTCATCACCTGAGAACAAGCAACTGTTCTCCAGCCCAATGCCAAGCCACCATGCAATGTGACTTTATGCTAGTCTGACTCTACGGCACAGCCTGCCCTACAAGGGGAAATGGAGCCTCAGACAGATGTGGGCAGATGTTGTTTGAAAATGGCCCTGCAGCCTCCCTATCTGCAGTCAGGACAGAAGTCAGACCTGATAGGACTATAAGTCATAACAGGGTAGAATCAGTCAAGTAATCAGACAATTGGCATCAGAGCGTAGATACTGGAACCCAGAGCATGCTCTTCCTCCCAAGTACTACGGCAGCTTTGCACCAACAGGCCTCATGCCTTTTGCTCTCAGCTGTTACCATCGTGGGAAAGAGCTGGGCATGGCTTTGGTAATGACAGTCCTGCCACCAGAACAGAATTCAAAAAGCCCTGAAGCTGCCTCTAGCGATAACATGCCTGCTGTCCCAAGACACGGGCATGCAGAGCAAATAAAAGTGACGCCAATGGGAAAAGCCACTGCAGAACACAGACAGCACAGTACGCAATGCGGAACCTACCATCTTAACCCTTCCAAGGTGCAAAAATTCATCTGCGTGCTGTTATGCTCCTAAAATAGAGGCCTGAAAACTCCAGTACGGTTAGCTTGTTCCCGTGAAGCAGCCTTGTAACGGACTCTGCTAGAACAGAGCAACTTGAATCTGTCCTGCCCCTTTTAAAGGGTCAGAGTTTCCAGGAGACCTCTGCTTTTCCTGAGGCACTGTTGGCAGTGGACAAGATTTGCAGGGCAGGAGCCTCAGTGGACTGAACTCTGTGTGCATCAGCATCAGAATGGGTGCTAAGCGCTCTGAAGGCTGGCCTCTAGTATCATGGTCTCCAAAGAGCAGCAGCCTGACAGCATACATACCATGTTCTCTTCGATGAAGACATTACTCTTGTGCCTGTGATCCACCCATGGCACACACTGTTTCTGGGGAAACACCAAGCAGAGAGCAAGGGACAGGAGCTACACTGAAATCAGGCTCCGCTTTCCAATACCGCAGCTTTCAACTCCCAACTCATGCTTTCCTCCTGACCCCCTTACGGTTATTAAAGGAGTTATCCTGTACTGCTAGAAAAACAAGTCTCACTAACATGCTGTTTAATAACATCAGATTCTCTCTCCAGTGTCTCTCCTCTCCAGCATGTAAACACCCAGGGTGGACAGACCCCATTACAACGTTTGCACTTACAACATCCTCGACGTGCAGCGTTTCGAGTTACAATGTTTTGCACTGACAACGTTTATAAATTGACACCCTGTTTCAACTTTATGACATCAGTTTCGACTTTACAACGCTTGATCCCATGCAATGCCATGCCAGCGAACAAGTTCACTGCGTCACTCATCTTCCTGGAGAACATCTGTCCAAACTTCCTTGGATACTTTCTTTAAGAAAGCAGACAAGAATCCAGAAACACCTGCAGCCAAGACACCAGCCAAGAATCCTTCAAAAAGTCCAACCAAGAGCCCTTCAAAACATTCAGCAAAGTCACCTCAAAGAAGTCCTTCCAAATCAATATGATTGCTATTTACAATATAAATACATTAATGTAGCTATATTACTCATCTATAATTGATTAAATACAAAATTCTGGGTTATTTTTGGTGAAAATAGGGTATGGAGCCTTAGTTCAGGAACCAATCCCCCATTTATAACATTGTTTCCTATGGAAAAAAATCAGTTCCGAGTTACAACGTTCAACATAAGAGGTGGTTTTCAGGAACCAACTGTGTCGTAAGTCTGAGGACTGCCTGTACTACAACACTTTGAATTATCCAGAACCCTTTTCTCTGCCTCTGTTGGCTATGTAGCCTCTATGGGGGACCCCATGCCTGCTCTCCTCTCTTGATCTTGGTTTTCAGAATGCTTCCAAGGAACAGCAGCAGCTGCCAGTGGGGAAGCCTATGGCCCCAGGTGAGGAGAGAGATTTGGAGTGAACACAATTTAAGAATCAGGCCCTGCAATCTGTAGCTGCTACATACCCTTCCCTCCCCTGGACTAAGGCAGTCCCAGCCAACACTAAATGACACACTCACACTGGAAAATGAAGCAGTCAGTCCCAGCACTAGCAAACATAAGATCCCAGTCTAAAAACCAGCTGCTGAAGCTGCTTCAGGCAGCAAATCCCAACCCCACCCACGCCAAGCCAAAACCAAAGCCTTGGAGAGTCAGGATAGAGGATGCAGACTCACATGGACTCCTGGAAGTGTCTGTCTCTAGCAACAGCAACAGCAACAACCCCACTGCCTGCAATTCACTGTCACCAGCCTAGCAAAAGCTGATTGCCCAGTGTGTGATGATGATCCAGGCTAGGTTAATCATCTCCTGAGAATCCTCCTTCCCCAAATTAATAACACCTGCAGCAAGATTCCCTATTAAGGCAGCTCTGCATGCTGGGAAAAATGCATCCCTAGCCAGTTAACCCATTCCATTTCACAAGCTGGTTGCCTTGCAACACTACCGAATAGAAACGCAGTCATCGCTGGCAAAGGTCTACTTTCCCCATGGGCAGCAGAGGCAGAGCACAGGAAATCATTCCCATCCTACCCCAAGTAATCTAGCTACTGAGATAATACCTCCCCAGACACAGGGAATTAGTGAGATACATATGTCCTACTGAGGACCTGAAATAAACTGCCTGGCACAAAGCATCTGTCATAAAAACAACAACAGCCCTTTTATATTTTTTTTAAAAAACAACATTCAGCATTTAGAACAGAAAATTTGAAAATTTCTCTAAATTAGAGACATTTAGAGCAGGAAATATCCCTAATTTCACCCTTTGCTCACTCTTAGGAGGGTTCTTTATTTCATCCCATTACCTCTAGTTAACCCTGCAGAGTGATTCTCTCCCTTCGTGGACCTTAACACTGTGTAAATACAGGCTATAAGAGCTGCCCTTCAATCATTACTAACCAAGTTATACAACATCCATCTAGCAGTCCTACAGGTCAGTGTTTTACTAGGTTAAATACGTGAAATATCCTTTCATGATAGATGCTGCGCTCTCGTGACAGTCTGACTGTAAGTGGCCTGGTGGGACCCGAGTACTTCTGCAAACCTGGTAACTGAACTGGAGATGGACCCAACTCGCTCCCCAGAAGGCTTTCTGTGGGTTCTGAGTTGTCAACTAACCTAGCCCTCAAGACTTTCTTATAAATCAAATGCTCCAGGTCTCTGGTCAGTTCTGTTGCTATTGTGAACCTATCTGATGGTAGTTTTATGTAGAGAGTCCTGAGCAGTGCTCCAGGTACAGTCACACCTCGGAGACCCATCAACTCCCTCATCTGTCAATAGTGTCTGTCTAGCCAAGCCCCACTCCCAATAGCATCAGTGGCTGATTTGACAGGCAAGAGGTGGCATGTTCGAGGCCATAGCAGAAGCATTCACGGTGCAGCCTGTCAGAGTCCAGTGAATCTGCAAATTCTGTTAAAGGCCTTGTCACAGGGACATGAAAAAGGAAAGGAAAGTGGCCCACTATAGTTAGTACACTCACCCTTGTGAACACAACCCCCATGTGAGGCAGGGTAGTGAAGAAGAGACTAAGTGACATGCCTGAGGTTATGTAGGGAACCTGCAGCAAAGCTCTAAGTCCCAAGTCTCTTGCCAGTACCATAACCCAGGAGTGGCCAACCTGGGGCATGGGTGCCACAAGTGGCACAGGCAGCCTGTGTGTGTGGCATACAGCAGCTCAGGGAGGGGACAGGCAGCACAGCAGCAGATAAGGCAGGAAGCAGAAACCAAAACAACAGGTTGGGCAGGGAGCACAAGGAAATAAGCAGAAAGCAGAGCAGCAGATGAAGCACTGAGCACAGGGCTGAGAGCAGAAAGCAGAGCAATATAATTGGGCAGGGGAAGTGGGTTCAAGTGGCACTCGGGGAGGATGCGGGGCTAATTTGTGCCAAAAAGGTAGCCCCACCTTCCCTGATCAATGAAGCACCTTTCTCCTCTGCAGCCCAAAGATTACATTTGCCTGTTGTGTAGCCATGTCCCACTGCAAAATCCTGTTCGACTTGCTGCCTACCCTCACGGCAATGTCTCTGGTCGTGACAGTTTTCCAGGTGTCTTCTCCCTCGTGTGACTATTTCAGATCACACCCATTTGATCTGATGTGTAGACACACCATATAAATGCCACCAGATGGAAAACCCCAGGTCTGAGGGTTACTCCCACCTGAGAAGTGAAGTTTGCTTAGCTAGACCTTATTTTAAGGGAATTAAAAAAAAAAAACTATGAGAGAACACAGATCTACAAAAGGATCACGTGCCAATAAGCTCCCCTACAGAGAACAGTAAGTGGGATGAAAAGGGAGGCCTGAAAGGGCCTTTAAGTAGCTTATTAAATAAACGAGTTCTATGGCAACTGCTACAGGCCACCGTGCAAGGCAGAGAAATGGTTCAGTGGTGACTAGAGATTATCTCCCCACCCCATTTCACGTGCTGTAGGAAACGGAAGCATTTCCCAGAAATGGAAGCAAAGGCAGCAAGTGGGAGAGCTGCACCAGCCCCTGCAAGGATGCCGCCTGCCCTCGGTCTCACAGCCACCCAGCGCACCTCCCAGCCCAGACAGGGCGCAGCTGCAGCGCTGCAGGGTGACAGGGTTTCTCCTGCCGCCTAGGAAACGCCACACCCAGAAGAGTGCCTGGCACTGCTTAGCCGGGGCCCGATCCTGCCCTGCTAGGCTGCCAGCGGCCGGCCGAGCCCTAGCAAGCCCCGCGCGTGGAGCCAGCGCGCTGCGTGCCAACAGGGGCCCACAGCAGGAGGGCTGGGGACAGCAAAGGCAGGCGGAGCTGGGCTCTCGCGGCGCCTCCTCGGCGCGCACAGCCCTGGCGGAGGAGCCGCCCGGCCGCCCCGCTGCAC